ATCTGAGATGAAACATCTGTAAACTGAACGGACAGAGAAGATTCCATCCTTTGTTTTTTTCCAAAGTATGGTATCAGCTTGCCTCTGCGGATTGATGGGTATATTTTGAATTAGATGCACACAGTTCTCTTCAAAGATCTCATTCATGAATAGAAGGTTGTTTGACTTTCCACTCACAGCTTGTTACTGTTTGATCAGACCTTGTTTTTAATACAGGCCTCTTATTTGTTGACCATGGAATCCATGGGCCTGATATGGCATTTATTTTCTCCCCATCCCCAACTCTCCAACAGAGATACTGGTCTAACTTTATCTCTGAGTTTCAGCATATCCTTTTCAGATATTTTGCCCGAAGCTGTTCAATCCATAGTTCCTGCCCCACATTGGATTTTTTTTTTGTTAACAAGATATGTTGAATCTTAGAAGGTGCCCTCAACCAGTTCAGATCAGCCATTCAGCCAGGTTTTCATATAAAATTGACACATATTATGTAATTTTTCCAAACTTTATCATATTAATATATCTGTAACAGTTTTTTTAATTGATAGGCAGATTTTCTATAGGCTGAATTGTATTTGTAGCAGTTTTATTTATTTATTTTTTTGATAATCAGGTTTTTTAATAGTTATTGCATAGGAAAAGGGAAAATCTATTGACCAATCACCCCCTGTCAATTGGTTGGTTCTACCCAATTTGGCCGAACCAATTATAAGGTTCTGGTTATGTGACTTTGTTTGGGTCTGGTTCTGGTTCTTGGTTGTTCCGTTTCAATTCAGACTTGAATCAATTATTTTGTTAATAATATATAAAGGTTTCCTAGCTCTTTTGTAATGTTTGTTATATTTTATGTTTTAAAATGATAAATTTGATAGATAATATAAGATAATTTTAGTTAAAAACACTTGATTTATATATACAGAAAATTTACTATTTTATTATCTTTTTTATTAAGATTATACTATCAAATATCAAGTTATATAAATAATTATAGCTGTCAGCATAATCAGCTAGATCAGGTCTGACCTGATTATTCCAATTATTAATTGAGATGGTTTTGTTCCGATTAATAATGGGCTATGATACTTTTTTCTTTACTGGTTATGATAGAATGATTAGAGGTGTAAATCAGGTTGTGTCGTTCATGTCCCAGTATGATGGTTCGGGCCGTGATGGATCTGGGGTTTTAGGTTCCCGGGTTGTGCATGCCATGCAGCCCGTGGCCCATGTTCCGACACGGCACGTGGCACGGCCTGTGGACCCGTAGTGGGCCGTGCTCGGCCTACCCGATGAACTAGCCATTGGGGGGGTCCTCAATAGCTAGTTTCAACTTTTGGGGGGTTTTTTATAAAAATACCCCCCAATAGCTATAAACAACTATATAGGAGGTATTTATGTATTTTGGTTTTGTGGGGGGGGAGAAAGAATGACACAAATGCCCCCCAATAGTTATTTTGGGGGCATTTTCAGTAAAATGATAAATAACTTTACAATGACCAAAATACCCTTTCCAACAACTAAAAAAATAGCTAGTTTTTGGGGGTATTTTAGCCAATTGAATTATTTTCAATTCCTATAAATAGAATTGGGATATGCTCCTCACAAAGACCTCATAGGCACATCCCGCTGTGCATTGAGAACATCTCCCATAAATAATAACACATAAGTATGGGAGATGTTCCCAATACACGGTGGAATGTACCTATGAGGTCGATGTGAGGCACCTTGTGTGAGGAGCAGATCCGGTCTCCTATAAATAGCTCTATCCTCCACCATTCTCAATTTCTGATCTAGTTCTCATACTCTCTCAAGTCTCAATCTCTCATATATTATTTGATTCTTCAATTCTCAACTTTATTGAAGTTACAACAAGAAGGCTTGCTCAACAACTTAAGGATCTCAACTCTCAAGTTAGCAATTTGGGAGACTTGGACTCTTGGAGTTGAAAGGCTTCAACAGTTGAAATCAAGTTGGGATTCTGAACTAGTAATTCAAGTAAGTGCAATTAAACTAATTTTTATTTTTTTAGAATTAAAAAAAAAAGATCGGCTCCTCTAGAAACCAATTCCCCAACATGTTCAATGTCGATGATATTTAGTCGTAGCATAGTAGTATTAGCACCAATATGGATGCTATTGATACTGACAAAACTTACACCCCTAGTACCAATACTAGGGGAAAGAAAAAAAAAGGCCACTAAGTTGATTAACCCGGTTTGGAAAATATTTAAAATATAGAAGGTTCAGGGGAAGGAAAAAAGAGTTGTTTGTCAAAAATGTAGGAAAGACTTTAGCTATTGTAGGAAGGGTGGTATTTGCCATTTGGGCAGACATTTGCTCACCCATGAAAAAGAAGAAGAAGAAGAAGAAGAAGAAGAAGAAAAAGAAGAAGAAGAAGAAGAAGAAGAAGAAGAAGAAGAAGAAGAAGAAGAAGAGAGAGAAACAATACAAACACAAATTAAGCAGGGGTTTTTGTACTTTTAAATATTCTCAAGAAAAAATGAGGCAAGAATTAACAAAATACATTTTACACGCTAAACAACCATTTTTGTTAGCTGAAGATACTAAACTTGAAAAATGATTACGTAATTTTGTAAATCCACGATTTAAAAAAGTTTATAGGAATACTACTATTAGATTAGATGCTTTAAAACTTTTTTATTCGTATAAACAAAATTTAATTTATATGTTATCAAATCTTAATTCTAAAGTTGCAATTACTTTTGATATTTGGACTTCTAAATTTAACATAAGTTATATTTGTGTTACCGGTAATTTTATTGATGAAAATTGACTTTTAAATAAAAGAATTTTAAATTTCACTAGGCTTGAATGGTCACATACTAGCCCAACTATTGTTGCAAGTATTTTAAATACTTTACATGCTTATGGAATTGACAATAAACTATTTTCTATTAGTTTTGACAATGAGAGTAATAATGATTCAACAATAAATATTTTAAAATCTCAATTAAAATCATGTTTAAATAATAAGTTATTTCATATCAAACGATCATGCAACATCTTAAATTTCTGCACTCATGATGCTTTAAATATTATTTCTACTCATATTTCTGAAATTAGAAATTGTATCATAAAATTATGGTTTAAAATATAAACATTTTATATTAGATGCACATAGATATGGAATTCTACCTATGCTATGTTAGAAAGTTGTATACTTCTCATAAACAAATTCTTAGTGATTTTTATAATGCAAAAATGCCTATTGATATTATATTTGAAGAAGACTAGAAATGTCAATTTGTATAAGAGATTTTTTAAAATATATTTTATGATGCAACTAATGAATTATCATGTATTTATTATCCAATTAGATGTAATTTAGCTTATCAAGTAATGATGATTAGTGATTGTTTTGCAAAATATAGAAAGAATCCACAATTTAAAAGTATTGTAAAAATAATGAAAAATAAATTTAAAAAATATTGGGAGAATGTTTCTCCTCTTTATTGCTTAGCTACAATATTAGATCCTAGGATTAGAAAAGATGGTTTCGATATTTTACTTGAAACATATTTGTGAAAATATAAATATTGAAATTGTAAATAAAAAAATTAATAATTTATTATTTGAAATGTATAGTTTATATGAATTTGAATAAAAAGAGAATAATAAAAATTCTACAACTTGTACAACTGCATCTTCTACTTCTGAATTTGAGTCTAATAGTAGATGAGAAAAACTTTTTTATTTAATAAGAGACAAAAATCCATTGCCTTGACAATAAGTTCATTTACTGAACTCAATTTTTATTTACAAACAAATTTTTCTATTTTAGGTGATTCTTCCTTCACCTCGAAGGGAACACATAATTTTGATATTTTATCCTAGTGGAGTGAACATGCAAAAAATTATCTAGTTCTCGCCACCATTGCACGTGATCTACTAACCCCTTTGGGATTTACAATTCCATCAGAGTCTTGTTTTAATGCAGGTACTAGGGTGTTAGATAACAAAAAAAGTTGTATGAATGATGAAAGTCTAGAGATGTGCATATGCTTTAAAGATTGGCTGGATGTTGAAGATAGATTATAAAACAAAGGAGGGCATGATACTACATCTTATGATTCACCTGAAGCAGATGATCAAAGTTAATAACAATAGGAGAAAATGATGAAGTCAATATTTTTTGTATACTTAATAGTTATATAGCATTTTTTCAAATTATTGTAAATTTTGTTTTAATTTTATTTAATTTATTTGATATTTTTTAATAACGCAATTCTTTATCTTCAATTTGTAACTATATTGTATTTTTATATTTTATTAATTTATTTCATTTTCCAATTTTCATATTTCATTCATCCAACCATTGTATGCTTTGTATCATTCAAATTTAAATGAAATAAAATTCTTATTTTTCTTTCAATTTGTTATTCACTTTGAAATTTTGCCTCTTTGACTTCTTATTTGGTTAAGTATTTTTTTTTTCATTTCTTTGTTAGATTTTTAGTTTTTCAAATAATTCTCAAAGGAAAGTTAAATATTTTAGTTTTGCTAAGTAAAGAAATAAAAAATAAAAAATGTAAAAAAATAAAAAAAAATCAATCTGGCTCGATTCGACCCACACCCAAGGTATGGCCTGTGGCCCAGGCCCATGGCATGACCTATAGTCTGCCCAGCCCAAGCCCGCAGCACGGCATGGCACGGGCTTAGGCCATGGACTGTGCCAACCGACCCTAAATTATCTCTAGAAAGTGTGGCACAACACGACACGACCTGTTTTACACCTCTAAGAGCGATAATGTTTGATCAGTTATAAGTTTTTCTATTATCATATTCAAACTAAATGAATTGTGATTTATGGGGGCTTTAGCCCAGACGTCTGGCCCATCATCACAGGTCCAGTCCTGCGTGGTTGGTTAGACCAGGTTTGATATATACGGCGTAATCCTGCTTATTCGGTGTGATATGGGTCTTTGACTAACAAAATATAAATGAAGAATATCCAAGTAAAACAATACAAGACTATACGCCAAAAATTAAAAATTCAATGGCATAATGAAAATACTGCCTTATCTGCTCGACAAGCTGAATCATTGGCAATCAGAGAAAGCCTGCTGTTTGTCTTGAAGGAAGGTTGGAACAGAGTAATCTTCGAAACCGATTGCTGTTCTTTGGTGAAGAGACCAAATGCTGGTTCTCTGCCTCGTTGGGTCGTGATCTTGAGTGCTATTTTGTTCTGGGTGATATCTTGAAGCTGTCTAAAGATCATCAGTTCTCATTCAGCTTTGTGGGCAGAAAAGAAACTCTGCAGCCCATTGCGTTGTTAAGAAGGGTTTTTCCGTTGACTGTTCTTATTTTGGTTCGCCTCCTGGTTGGCTTTCTGCAGTTCTAGAGGACTTACAGTCTTTTGGTCAAGCTAGATTCTCTGGTTAATTTATCTGCTTTGTTTTCTTTTTCCTTTTCTTTTAGTTGTTTTTTTTTTCTCTGTGTTCTCTGGATGTTTGTTTTATTCTTCGTTCAATTAAATTATCTTTTCTACCAAAAAATGAAAATACTGTTGTGGTCCTTGTGGATAAAATTGTTCATTCCACATGCACATTGATTCTTCCCTATCTTCCACTAGAAATAAAATCTGCTCTGCTCTTCTAGTCTTCTCGCTGGTGAGTGGCGGGAAGTATTGGAACCAGATATTTTCTGCGGGAATTTGACTGAAAACAAAACACAATTTAGGATTACTGCACTCTCTGAATAACATGTAGAAGTATCAGAGATTTGGTTTCGGAGGCAAGGCAAGATAGGTTTACTTCGAAACAGAACTTCCTCCCTTTCTCAATCTAGGCACGCACTTCACAGAAAAGTTTGATCTAAGACTTCTGTTTTGCGTCTCTCTCTCTCTCTCTCTCTCTGTGGTGTTATTGGGTTTGAGGAAGGACATATATTCAGAAGAAATGAAAAGATAGACCATAATAGTTATCGGTTATGGGTCTCGTATGCATCTTCTAAATTTGCTTGTGGATCCATTTCTTATCTATTCCTTTAGGGTTCTTTTTTTATAGAGTTTTTTTTTGGTTAACTTTATTTTTGTGAGTTCATGGGCCATTTATGCTGTGATGGTTTGTTTTGCTGTTATTTGGATTATTGCCAATTCTTTAACTACAATAAAGAAAAAAGTATGCAGTTCATGGGCCATTGCTGCTGTGATTTCAGCAACTACACTACTTTTAGTACAGTATATGGTTGGTGGGGATTGTGGATGAAAGAGAATCAATTTGGACGCTAATTCTGATTGAGCAAAAACGTTTTAAATCATTGTGTACTTTAGAAGGGACAAGAGGAAATTGTTATTTTCGCTAGAAGTAGAAGATTTCTGGACGAACCTGGTGATCTTTTCTAAGTAACTATAGAATTAGAGATAATTTCCAGTAGTCATGCAGGATTTTGTTTTGGATACATGTCTGTCTGGCTTACCAAGCTTTCATGGTTATGCTATTGTGTCACAATTGATATTTAAAATCCAAGCTATGAAGCTGTGTTGCTATTTGAACCAACCACAAGATCCACCGCATGCTCTGTAGGCATTTAATAAATAAGGAAGAAAAGGCAACAACAATTACTTAATTTTCAGATTGTATAGTATGTGATAACAATTTGTCTTGCTTCAGTTGTTTCTTCTCCAATTCTCGTGGCTTCAATATCATAATTTTCAGATTGTATGGTATATTAATTTTTTTAAATAATTGATTGCAAAATCTGAAAACCCATCAAAATAAACCAATAAAGACACTGCCAACTAACAGAATGGAAGCCCAGGTGGAAAAATGGCATAGCATTTAGGTTGTGCTTGCAAGGTACCATTTAAACAAAACCCTAGAACAAGGATGAGGAAGATCATACTTTTGTCACTCCACTAGTAACCTAGTTGGACAGCAGAGTTCTGTGGTGTTCAGTGATCACTTGTTTTCATTCTCTAAACAATGATCAATGGTGCTCTAAACATTGGTTTCTACGTGACAAATGTACATACTGTAAATGAGCCTGGAAGATTTCCATGTTTTTTTATGAGATCTCAAGCCAAAAGTTGATGAATCTTTTATTGAAGCTTTTCCAATAAGGGCTATTTTGAACTTCTGATTTCATTTTCTTTGGCTTTCAAAGTGGATGGTGTTAAAATGAAAAAAAAAAGTGTAATTTTGAGCTTTTGGAATTTTGAAATCCCAAGGCTCAAAATCTGTTGACTGTTGTCTAACCATTTGGGCCTAGGTTTAATTTGATTCGCTTTTTGGAGTAAGGAAATTAACTCCAGACTAAAAGGAGGTGGATGGTCTTTATTTCCCTCCTAGTGTCATTTAATGCCTGCAAAGCTCTGTTGCTAATTTTCTATAACTCCCTTCTAAGAAATATTCCTTTTGTTAATGACTTCATAGAGTTCATTTTAAGTCATTAACAGGTAATCTCTGTCAGCCATCCCCATTATTGGTCCTTATGGATATTGGATAGTGTACACCAATTGATCTATACATTTCTTTTCTATGTTTTGATTCTTACTGTCTTCTTTAGTCCCATATTTCTGTTGAAAATGCTAATGTGGTGTTTTCCATGTATGGACACCTCCTGTACTGACAGACTGACCCCGTATCTCTGTCACAGGTCAATGTTGCATGCAATTTCTGCCACCAACACTTCTATACACTACTGGAGTACTCCTACTTTTCCCAGAAAATGTGTAGTTCCTGCCAGGCTTCATATATCTGCCTCATTACCAGATGTGGGTGGAGTTAAAGTAGAGTATACACCGTGGTTGATTGTTGGATTAGGAAACCCTGGAAATAAGTATCACAGAACTAGGCACAATGTGGGTACATATTTTTGAGAGTATTTGTTTGAACTCTTTCTCTTTAAGTTTATTGATTAATCCTCTTTCTTTTACTGTTCTCAAAGAGATAATATATGAATTATCTATCAACTTTCCTTCTGATATTTTGGCTAGACACTCTAACCCAGGTTGGTTTCGAGATGATTGATCGCATTTCTCAGAAAGAAGGAATTTTATTGAATACAATACAGTCAAAGGCTTTAATAGGAATAGGTAACTCTTCAGGTTTATTTATTTTTTAATGTTTCTTTCTATCCCCTCTTTTATTAAGCATGGTTCTTTTAACATTGTCTTCTATACTTTTAAGTCAGCATGCATCATTGTTGGCTATGATGGCCTATGATGCCCCATAAACAGAAACTAATACTGACATGGATAAGGGAAATGGGGATATAACTCTCCATTTCCAAAGATCTTAGACATGAATAAGAGAATGTGTTTTCCATTTGTTATACTCCTTTCATCCTTTTATATCTAGTTTTAGCTAAGTGTCATTTTCTAATGCATATATCTTACCAAATTTTATTAAACTACTAATGTATGGTTATATGCATATATTATAGTTTTATTTATCAAAGCATGCAATTTTGTGTATTTTAAAAGTGTTAACGCTATAAAGTATACTCTAGGAGTGTCAATGCAGTATCCAAAATACCGGGTACTAATATTTCCAATATCAGTATGCTAAACAATTACAGTTACACGGGTATCATTTTTGATGACAACCATGTAAAATCTACTAAAACTTTTGTATTATAGTTCATCGTTTTATTTCAATTTCATGCATAATTTGCACTGTTAGAGCTCAGTTATGAGTTGGTGGCCATTCAATTTCAATATCTGATCAGTGCAGGGTCCATTGGGGAGGTACCAATTTTGCTGGCAAAACCTCAGGCCTACATGAATTTCAGTGGTGAATCGGTTAGTTTTGAATTGTACTTCTAATTTGACATGCCTCTCTGCAGTTGTCCACATGCATGTTCTTGTACTTGTAAAGAACAAGACCACTTCTAAGCAAGTATGCCCATATATTATGTGATTATGTCATCACTTCTAAAGGTCATGAATGCTTTGCTTCTTCCTTAAATTGTTTAGAAGTTGATAAAAATTTGTTGAAAGACTTAAATGTGAAGCAGAAAACAGGAACCTTCATTGCATTAACCATGTTACAATATTTTGAATTGATTTTTGACGTAGTTGACAAATTGTAAATGCACTTATATGCACGGAATCTACTTTGGTCTTTTCTTATGGTTTTGTAGGAAAAATGAGTCACTAATCCAAATGTGAATTTCTAATTTCTCTACCTTTTTTGAGAAAAGATTAGCTGAACGCGATGGCTGTGGAACCAATGATAATATTTCATGCCAGTAATAAAATACATGGGACCCACACTTCTCACAGTGGGGCCCATGAATTTACTCATTTCCATATCTAAATTGTTATTCTACTGTTTTTTCCTTTACCAAAATCAATCATGTAATTTATATAGTTCCTTATCTATAGGTTCTATACAGGTTTTGGTGTCCATCTGTGGCCCTGAGTGTTAGGCAGTCAGTTTTTCTTTTTTTTAAAAGGTGCACATTGTGGTCTCCCATAACAAAGACCATTTTGGGTTGAGATCAATTAATTATTTCTAGTCAGTTCAGACCAAAAGGCAGGTCAAGAAGCCTAGTCCAATAACTAGTCAGTTGATGGTCAAAATGAATGCATCACTAATTAGTTGGCCAATACTAATGGTGCAGTCAACTAATGGCTAGTTGTCCTAGTCAACATAGTCAAGGACAAATTAATTTTAAAGTTTTATTTGCTTCTCTTTATCTTGGATTCATATATGGTTTTATTTCATTATATGCATACCGGTTGCTCTAAGCATTTATGATGGAACATGGTTGGGTGATGGTATATAAAATAGAAACAAGGCATAAGATGAAAGAACAATGAAGTAGTTCTTCTAGTTCTTCCAATCAGTGGTTTGCTGGTATGGCATTACCTGCAGAAGGAGTCCACATGAAATAGTCAAAGATGTAATCCTTCCTTGAAAAACAAAGACTGTCACTCCCTATCTCAACCTAACCAAACTTCTTTCTTTCTTGTCTGTAAAGCAAGACTCTATTGACTTATATATGTTATTAGACATTTTTTTTTTTGTTGTTGACTAGTTAATGTCTAGGTATTGACTAGCCACAGCATAGCCTAGGGAGGCTAAAATGACCAGCCATTGGCTCACTGCATTGACACTCCCTGCATTTTATGAAATGATACATAAAACTGTTTCTGCATTAATGGTATCTCCAGTTTGCTACTATTAATATCTGTACTTTTCAGACTATAACATAGTTGTCAAGGCGAGGCCTAGGCGACAAGCCCTTGGAGGCTTGTCTTGCCTAACTGCCAAGAAGTTTTGTACATTGTGTTATAAAATACTTTTATATTCTTAATTTTTTTAGATTATAATTATAAAATAGACATTATTAAACTAAAATATTCATTTTGTGTGTTTATATACTAATTTGTTTTTATTATTTTCTTATTTGTTAGGGTTTAATCAACATAGGCATTGCTAAATGATGTATTGAACCCTCAGAGACTTAAAAACCTGAACCAGTAAGTAAGGAAGATCTTACAGTTTTGTCTAATCAACACATTTTCTTCTTCTTTTCTTATAACAAAAATAGGGGTTCAGCCCCTATATATTTTGAATCTTCTTTTCTTTCATATTTTTTCTTCTCATGAATATGTTGACTTTCTATACTTTAACATGAAGTTTATACTTTTCTTATGAAAATTATGGATAATTATTAAGGAAATATGGTTATGGAACCTAGGGAGATACCCTAGGATATATGCTTTTTTACTTAAAAAAAAAAGTCCATCACCTAGGTGATGCCTAGGCAACAAGGCACCTCCCTGTACCTAGCCTCGCTTTGGCACCTTGAAAACTATGGACTATAATATTAAAGATACTAGTTATATAAGCTAGATGTTTCCCATCTTAGAAGTTATTATTTGTCTCTGTTGGCCATTGTTGGCTGCTAGAGGATCCTGGATGCCAGATTTTGAATTTCTACTTTTTATATTTTTCTACCAATCTTTTCTACTTTGCATGAATTTAGATCAACATGTGTTGCATGTCCTAAAATTACTGATTACAGTGCTGTCAGCCAGAGTGGAAAAGCATGCAACTTTGTTTTCTTCACTGGATAGGCCTTTCTTAAAGAAAGGGTTGAACTGTGTAAATTCTTTCACAATATTAATACAAAAAATTATTAACTGTGGCATCCACATAGTTTCAGTAGAATTTATCTATGTTCCAAAATGCATTGCTATATACTTGCACAAGATGTCTATGATCTAGTGCTTTGTTGGAATGTAGATTATGCACTCACAAATTGATGTTGGATTTTACCTTTTCCAGTTGTTATGTCTAAAGTATATAGAACTGACTGGACTCATCTTTATCTCCTTTGCTTTCCTAAGAAATCAGTTCCTAAAGGATTAATCTATCTGCAGGTTGGACCACTTGCTGCATACTATCAAGTACCTTTACACCATATACTATTGGTACATTTTACAGTATCTGCATTTTCTAAGTTACATTTTAGTGAATGCCTTTCACATGATGGCCATGTGAAATATTGTAGGTAATGTCTGATTCTGGAACTTGGTTAATGTAGGTCTATGATGAGATGAGCTTACCAAATGGTGTCATGAGGATTCAACCAAGAGGAGGTCATGGTCATCATAATGGGTATGTGATTTGATATGTGCATGGTAGCATTCTCTGTAACAATGTTTTAAAAGGCATGAGGTTTATACCTCAGAGGATCACTTAAGATAAATGCTCAATAAAATGCCTTGTGTACCCCCTCTTTCTTTTATTGAAATCAGCTAACTTCTTTCAACATAATAATAACAATAATAATGAAATGCCTTGTGGCTGAACCTCTCACCTTGTTTTGCCTTGTTTTAAGAAAGTTGCTATGGTGCATTGACTGAATTAGATTTGCCATCACAACAATGAGTTCAAATTAACTTTTCGCTTTGCATTTTTATTAGTTTACAGTAACTTTGATTTTTCAAAATCATTTTGAGGTTTTATTTTACATTGAGAACTTATTAAATAGGTAATGGAAGATATTTGTGAACATAATGTCATATTTTTAACATAATGGCTAAACATCATTATAAAAGCAAAAGTAAATCAGACTTAGTAGTTTTCTATATCTTAAATCGTTCATCTATGTATTCTTTTCTAAATGCTTTTATACTTGTACTGTTGGTTTAAAACCAAATATTTGACGAGGCAAAAGTCTCATGCATAGAGGCTTATGCCTCGTGCAATTAGGATTCCTAGAGCCTTGATTCATACCTTTGCTTTTGAGAACTTTATTTTCACCATTTAGAAGGTTTGACTATTCAGGGACTTTAGACCGCTTTTATTTCCATATGAATAAATTATCTTTAACTTATACCATTACATGTGTATATTGCAAACCTTTATACCACCAGTATCTACTTTAGAATAAAATAAAGTTGCTCAAGGACAAGGTTTGTTCTTGGATTTTTTTTTTCTGAAAAACTGGAGTTTTTTATATTTCTTGGACTCTTTTGTATATGGGGTATGGGGAGTATATGTGCATCTAGGCCATCCTTGCAGTGTTATCAATCAGCAATTTGTTTTAGGTGTCTCTGAAGGTGAATATACAGATATATGCTCAATTAATTGAAACTTGAAATTGAAAAAAAAAAAAAAAAGGTAGAGACCTGGTGGACCAACAATACACATCTAAAACCCATATGGGGTATGGGGAGTATATGTGCATCTAGGCCATCCTTGCAGTGTTATCAATCACCAATTTGTTTTAGGTGTCTCTGAAGGTGAATATACAGATATATGCTTGTTAAAGTGAGCCAAATAGGGGTAGTTTAGTCATCTCATGTTTGTTAAGTACCTTGCTTATGTGGCAGTTTTATTAGAGATACTCTGCCCACACTTAAGTAAGGGCAGTTTAGTCTTTGTAAAGGTTATTAGAACTTAATAAACATTAGGGGGTCGAATGAACAGTGTACGAATCAGTTTTGACTAAACCCTCCTGTTCTCTCTTTCTCTTTTCTTCTTCTTGATCTTCTTCTTCCTTCTCTCCTGGTTCGGGTTACTGTAGCTGCATTCGAAACAATGCTCAATTAAATGAAACTTGAAATTGAAAAAAAAAATGGTAGAGACCTGGTGGACCAATACACATCTAAAACCCATATCCATGTCATATTGTGTTGATAATTTGGGGTAAGCTGAAGGCACCAATTATCACATGTTAGTCTCCTAGTTTGGGGATTCAATGCTACAACTCCGTGAAATTTAAGAACATCATGACTATTTTTTTCCCAACTAGCAATTGGTGCTTAGCAAGGCCTGGGGTAGCCTTTAAAAGTGCAGGTTCTGTGCTCCATCTCAACAGTTCTGGATTTTGGATACCTGAGCATGAGTTCTGTATTGTATCAGATATTTTTGTACAAATTTCATCTCAGACACCTCATCTAGCTATATCCTAGCCATATTCAAGTCTCATAGGGACCGAGAGCTCTTTTTGTAAGATGCTTAAGGAAAACAGTTTCCTTTGTTCTTTTATATATATTTAGGGATTTAGAAAAGAAAAATCTTTATAATGGTCCTCTTACATTGGAGCTTTCTCAAATATAGATTTTTTTTTTGAGAAAAGGTAAAGTATTTCATTAAAGAAGATAAGTAATTACAGGAGACCTGCACAGTAAGACACTGAGCAGGAAAACAAAGAAAACTTTATACATACCAAGGGCTTCTGTTCAGCTAGATACAAAAATATTGCAGTTGTCAAAAAAAGTATTGTACGGAGTGTTCTTGAATAATTTGTGAGAAACCACCCAAGAGTAAATTCTTCCCCAAAAAACTTTTAGTACTGAATCATCTGAATTGTACTTGTCCTCGAAAAGCCTCCTGTTCCTCATTGTCCAAATTGTCCATAGCACTACTGGTGGAATTACTCCCCAGATGACTCTTCCTTTTTTAGATAAGCCAGCTAGGTTCCAGCTCCAAAGTAACTCCAACAGACCTTTTGGGAAGCACGAGGACACCTCGAAGAATCTCAAAGCACGAGGACTCTTCCTTTTACGTAAATATGATCTAATGTATGTACTGTGTGTAGGCATTACTGCATGTATGTATTATGCAATAAACATTTACCTATCTGTCTATGCATATTTATTTCTGGAGATAATGACTCGTTTTTCTTGATAATCATTTTTAATTAAGTAAAGAATTGACCTTTTCTCACCTATGCATCACTTTGTCATCTGGATTTGCTGCATAATTATGATGTCAATGATTGTAATGGTTGTTGTGATAAGAATAATAATTATATTAATTATAGGAATAATGTCCTTCCACTTTTCAATATCTAGTCTCAGCTTCCTCATTATCTTCTCAAAAAGCCTAGGATTTCCTTTTCTCATGGCATGTGAACTATTATATAGAAGCATACAAGCTCACACCAATTTGTAAATTGGAAAAGTTAAAACCCTGTAGACATTTCCTAGTTTTCCTAACCTTCTAAAAGCAACTCAATTATGTCTATGACAATTGACAATGTCAGTAAGACCAGACTTAAATTCATAAAGATTCTGTTTTTCTATTTTTCAAATAATTCTAAAAATATTGAAGAATATCTAATCTGTTCTTGTGTGTAAGTTCTTATTCCCGTGCTCTTTTTATTCTGCTGCTTCTACATCCTTAATGTTTTAGTAAGAAGAGACAAGATTGTCCCTGTTGCTAAGCAACATTACCGCAATACAGCCCCCAAAAAGAATAGACTACAGATAGAGTGGAGACCTCCTACAGAGGGTGTGGTAAAGCTGAACTTTGATGGCAGCAGTCTAGGAAAACCAGGGCCTTCGGGTATAGGAGGGATTTTAAGAGATAAGGATAGAAACATCCTATCCCTATTTTCAGGATCAGTGGGAGTTGGCGATTCAACAATGGCTGATACTGGCTGCGGTGCAAGGAATACAGGTTGCAAACCAACTAGGAGTGGAAAATCTGATAATTGAGGGAGATTTTAAGGTGGTAGTGGGTTGGTTGTCAAGTCCAGAAACAGTTCTATGGGTCTACAGGGATCTTCTTAGGAAAGTTAATTGGTTCACAAGGAATATGTCAGTCACCTATCAGTGGGCAGCAGATTAGCAAATGCCATGGCTGATTCTTTGGCAAAAGAAGGGGTCTCAAGGGTTGAATTATTTTCTGCTACTCTATGAGTGTATTCTGTTAAGAGTTTGTTTATGCTCTCACCTCTAAGGGGAGGTAAGTAGGTAACATCTTGTGCCTCCTTTTAGGGTGAATGTACACTTCCTTTCTTATTATTAATAAAATCACTGTTCATTTATCCAAAAAAAAAAACATTACCACAATACAGAACAATGAATAACCCCTTTTCTCATCATAAGTTAAACAATTACTACCATAGAAAAGGTCTTGTATGGGGATCTCTAGGCCCAGGGATACAGGTTTAAATCTGATCTTGCTTATATGATCTAGTGGGCCAGGCAGCATTTTGCTGTATTTTCTTTTTTTGCTTATTGTACTGCTGTGGTTATTTTCCCTGCTACTATTTTCCTAATAGCAGGGGTTGTTTTTTATTAATAAAATTTATTTGATCATCATTAATGGTAACAAATTGCTTTTTAAAATGTAGGGGCAGTCTGCAATAGCAACTGCCAAACCCATTTTGGGTATTCTCAGACCTTGGGACATTTGTTTTTTTTTTTTTGTTTTTTTTTTGTACACAAATACTCAATGGTATTTCATATTTGTATTTAGTAATGTTACCAAACAAGGTTCTTGCACAACTTTCAGATACTGATGTGGTTCCCATATGTTAGATACTTGCAATGAAACTTTTTCTTGTTGTTGTTATGACCATTAGTTACACTTGTTTCAGAGTGAAGAGCGTGATGGATCACCTGGATGGATGCCGAGAATTTCCTCGGTTATGCATAGGTCGGTTATTCAAGTACAGTTACCATTGTTAATTGTTTATGTTCTTGACTCACTGAATCGCCCAGGCCCCCAGTATGAGACATTTCTATAATGCTTGTAGGTATTGGCAATCCTCCTGGAACAATGGACATGAGAGCATATCTGCTACAAAAGTTCAGTCCAGAAGAGAGAAAACAGGTAAACTTGCGTCAATGTTTGACTGATTTTATACCTTTGGATTGATCATGCTTATTTTTGAGAAGGAAAATCTAAATGGGAAGTCTCAGTGAACCCTCTTCAATGAACACCATCCAAATTAACATAAGATGGGATTTTTGTTCTGTGCCACTTCTTGAGGACAACATTTGAGTATCAGATTAGCTGGATGGCCTCTGTTGTGCCATCTCGAGATTGAACTTGTACTCTTTCAACACTGTAAATGGGTTAAGGCACATCAATCATATTACGCAAGAAATCCCTGTTTGGATCTTATCTTGTCTTTGATGTGATTATGGTAATGGTTGTTCCTATATTAGCTTAGAATCATAACGTATCAAGGGAGGGGGGGAAGCTTGGGCTCATATGGTTTGTGAAATCCTGGGTGCAACTTCAGGGCACTGACATGGATGCAGATACTCAATTTGATATGCTAAAATCATGTTTTTAGTTTAGGAGTTTTTTTCAAAGTTTGTTGTCTTCTTTAACACTGATATCCTGTAATGTAAGATGCAACAAAAATTCAAATACACGCTGAAGATTTTACAGTGAAAGTTGCTAAATATGTACTATTGTATACTTCGTCAACAGTATAATTTAACATTAGAAGGCAAGAGAATAATTTGTGAAAATAATAACTTTGAACCCAAAAATATCTCTGTGATACCTTATATCTGGTTACAGTGTCAATGTTATGTAGTGTCAACATAAATATACCAAATTGAGGTATCCATGAAGTTGTTTTTATTACACCTGTGTGCAAACTGGTTCTGGACATTAAACTTGCTAGGCTCAACGGTGTGCATGAGACATAAATAGATCATATGCATCTGAGTGTGTGATGTTTGAATCACCTTTAGATATTCATTGCGGTTCTCTAACTTGTTATGATTGTTCTGTAACTGTTGATCTGTTGCTGACATATACACGTAATTTGGGTTTGGTCATGTTTAGGTGGACGCTGCGCTTGAGCAAGGTTTAGAGGCTGTAAGGACCCTGGTGCTCAATGGTTTCAATAATAGCATCACTAGATTCAATCTGAGCCAGAAGTACAAGTACCATAAAGTTTGAATTGAAAACCAAATGAAACGAAGAGGGATGTAAAATAGTGCGGCAATTTCTATAATCAGAATCTGTTGTGTAGATGAAATTGACTTTTAAAAATAACTTATTTTATCTAACAGATAAAATATAAAAAACAAAAATATCGTGGACTATTCATTAAATTTTCGAAATGTGTTATATTATTTCTTTCTTTCTTTCTTCTTCGATGCAAAGAATTGGTCTGCCATTGGCTAACAAGATGAATGGGGAGCTTTGATAGGCCTTCTTCTTCAGTGAGCAAAAGAAACCTATCAAGGCCTTGCAGCCCTCACCCATAGGGGAAGTATTTGTGACAGTTAAGGGTGACAATGGACCGGTTTTGGATTGGACCCCATCCAGTCCAAAATCAATTTGGATGGATTGGACGAACCAACAAGACATGTTGGATTGGATCAATCCGGTCTAAAATGTTTGTTAGGTTGGATTGGACCTGGTCCATCTGTAATAAATTTATATTGGATTGGGTTGGACTAAGCCAATATCTGGTCCATTGATATAAGATAAGTATATGTATCAATGGACCAGATTTGGATTGAAACCAATCTAAATCAAAGTGAATTTGAACAGATTGGACAGTCTAGACATTGAATTGGACCGATCCAAATTGGTCCAAAACATTCATTGGATTGGATTGGACCTAGTCCATTTATAATGGACTCACATTGGACTGGATCGGATTGGACCAAATCCAGTCCAATTGACACCCTAGTAACAGGAAAGGCAGACTTCTGGATGGTGAAGTCGGAAACAAAAATGAAAACTAGGATGGACTTGATGAGATACAGAGGGAACTGGTTGCTGTTGAGGTCATCGTATGTTGGCATTATAGGTTTTACTGTTATTGAAGGGCATGAAATAGAGAAAATAAATTGGAAGCAAGCAGAGTTTAAAAAACGAATTCGCATCAGCACCCCACAGCACATCCCAGCCGTGTATTGGGAACATCTCCCAATGACAAATACGGGAGATCTTTCCAATACATGCTGAGATATATGCATGTGGGGCGCAGATGTGAACTCTTTCAAAACTAGCAAAGTTGTTATCGCTCTGCAGATTTTACAACCTTCGCCTGAGAATTGAGGAAGGTAGAATACTAGAATCTTCTGTTTTCTCAAACCAGTCCACCAGAAAACAGAGACAAAGTCAATATATTTTGGGAGAATGATGGTTCAGCCCAGGGTCAGAATTTGTAGGCCCAAAGTACTGTTGGGGTAGGTGCCAGTTCGGAATTGATACCAATTCACGGGTGGGCATTGATGCATAGAGTGTGGGTTGTTGATATTTTGAATGTTTATAGCTTTGCAGTGGAAATCAGAAATCTGCATTGGGCCTGTCCTTACTTTTCGGATATATTTTATCCTTTTCTTTTTTGAAGTCTTCATTTTGAGAGAGAGAGAGAGAGAGCAAGGAGTTATCGCCTCTCTGAATCTTCCACCGGGAAGAGTAAAGGAGAGAAAATGAGGGGGTAAAAATGGGATTGTAAAAAATTAATGGTCATATCAAATGCTGTGTTTGGTTGCAATGGGAATTTATTTGCACTGATACAAAATCATGGTAGTGCAAATGATTTTGGTGCGAACTATAATTTATTTTTATTTCAAAATTTACCTTATTTGTTTGAATGCAATACAAATGAAGTAATAAAAAACCCGGAGCAGAAAATATGCTCCTGGGAGAAAATTTACCTTATTTGTCTGAATCTTTTCATTTGCACTTCCATGCATTTATACTCATTCAAATAAAATTGCACTTCCATTCAATCTCCTGGGAGAAAATATGCAGACCTAAACATCAGGGTTGATTGGGCTTTAGAAGAATGGGGGAGTTTAACGAAGTTCTATTTGCAAAACAAGTTTGGAGATTATTCTCCTCAGAGAAGGGCTTATGGATAAAGTTACTAAAAGAAAAATGGGTCAAAAACAATTCAACTTTCAATCTGAAATCTTCACCAAATGATTCAGGTTGGTGGAAGAAGGTGGTTTCCACGTTGGACAAGATGAAAAGAAATTTGTTTTGGAAATTTCAGAATGGCAATTCCTGTCACATCATGGACCCTTGGATCCCAACCTTAAGAGAGGGGGCTCCTGAGTTAAGGAACCGACATCAACAAACTCAAAGAAATGGTTCTGTCAAGGAGCTGTTGAATCCTGATGGAAGCTGGAATGTCTAATTACTATCTTCTTTATTCTCAAAAAACACAGTTAAAAGACCACAAGAAGACTTACCTGATATGTGGAGGTGGAAGAAGTCTAAGAATTGTAATTATACTGTAAATTCTGGTTACAAATTTTTCACAGGCCATCTCCCCTCTTCTTCACTTTGTACTGCTCCATTGAGAATCATTTGGAAGGCCAAAGTGCCTCACAGATTACAAGTCTTCATGTGGAAGGCTTGGTGGCACGGTGTGAACACAAATGATAAACTGAGGTTTCTTGAGATCCAAGACAAATATTGCACAATCTGTGGATCTGAAGAGGAAACTTAGCAACACTTATTCTTTGAATGCCAATATGTTAGAGCAGTTTGGTTCGCAGAACAAATCGGTGTCAGCCCAACAGAAGTTCATGGTGTTCAGTTGTTTTCTTTTGTTTATAGATGGATTGGCACAACATTTAACTCTCTGCCTAAGGAAGTTCAAATGGGCTATGTTGCAAAGTTCTTTATAATCTTTTGTCTTATATGAGATACGAGGAATCAAAAAGCTCATAATAAACAAATATTGGATTCAATCCAATTAGTGGATATGGCCGACTCTTATTGCATTCCAAGTCTCAATAATGCTAAAAATACACAAATCCTATCTTGTCATCATCATCAGCAGATAACTCATATCATGCTTGTTTGTTGATGGATCGTACATTCCAACTTCTGGTCATGCAGGTATTGGTTTTATAGTGTTATCGAAAGATCTAAATGTCATATATGCTGAAGGAAGAAAAGTTGATGGCTCTTCCGCAACTCAAGTAGAATGGTGGGCCTAAAGAAAGCTATTAACCTGGGAATTAAGAACCTCTTAACCTTTTATGATGCAAGGAAGATGGTATGGTTGACTGGAGTGTGATGCATATCCAAGAGGAAGTCAGATCAAAATTAACTTTTTTTGATACTATACATGTAACCCATATTAGTAGAAATGCAAAAGCTGCTGCCCATGTTTCTAGCCTATCAAGCTTGTATACAATACAATGTAATAGTTTCGAAGACGGGCAGATCTGAAAACTCTATGTAATCTTGTGGCTCTAATAATCGTATCGTTTATATTCCTTGCCAAATTAAAAAAAAAAAATGTGCAGGATATATATTAATATAAGTAATCAACTCTTATTTTGTTTTTGTTGATCATTCAAACAAATGGCAATTGGGTGCATAGGGTTATCTGTCCATGTCGATCGCAGTCTCTTCTATTACCCACCTAATACTGGATCTCCATGTTCAGCTAGAATCCACCATTTCCCGTGCTGATGTAGTGAAGTCCATGATTGCTATCTTGAGCCCATCATCATCACAATATAATTAATAATAATAATATAATGGTGATGGAAGGTGGGCTTCTGGTTCTGGCTGTTACAACACGCATGGACGCTCCGGTTTGCCGGCCGCCACTGCGTCAGGTCCGGTGAGTAGTAGGTTGCTCTTTGCTCCCTACCAATAAGACCAAGTGGATATGCGAAGCACGTGACGTGAGAGGTACGTCAGATCAGAATCGGTAGGTAGGACCAGATAATAGAGAATCTTAACTTTTCAAACGAAAAATAGAAATCTGACGGTTAAAAGGGGATCCAATGAAAATTCTATCACTTTTCCAGTTTTTCTTTTTGAGATTGACGATGACGATTTCTTTCGGTAGGTGGGAGTCTGCTCTACTTCTGAACTTCTCGTTTGGGATTTGGGAAGGGAAGGGACCCACCTCAAGTGGACCGTTGGGGGCTTGGAGGACGTGGGAGACAAGCAGAGCACTAGAGAAAAAAAGGGAACCAGTACCACTGCCCTTTCCCTTTTCATTAGACCGTTGCAGTGCGAAGCAACAGCCGAGTACATAGAAGAAGTAAACTCAAAGCAGGAGTAACAAGAAAGAAGACTTCATCGCTCCAACGTATCTCCCAACACCGAGAAAACTTGGAAGAACGGAACTGAAATTCGAATTCTCGAAACCATGGCAGAGATTGCTGCTTCTCTGCACCCAATTCATGAGCTGAATCCCACTCTTGAATCACTCTTTGCCGCCCTCGACCCCAAATCCTTTATTCTCTCAAACAGGTCCAGCTCTGTCCATGTCCAACACAAGCCCCCGTTACACTTCCCCCCAGCTAATCTTACTCTGCAACGAGGGTTCAGGTACAAAGCTTACGCGGAGTTGAGAGAATCAAGGCTGAGGATGAAGCACTGTAACCAACAGCCCGATGTACCTGCATCAACAACTACGGCGACGCCGCCCAAGAAAAAGGTCACGTTTCAGGGAATGGCGCCGGTCACCGCACGCAACGGCACGTCGGTCGTTGCCCGATCGGTGCCGGACTTCTCTGCTGTACTAAGGAAAGAGAATAGGAAGCCGATGTCGATGTTGGAGATGACGCCACCACCTTCCAAGGCTACGAAAGGCGGGGTCTTGCCGAAATTAGGGAGCAGGTCGGCTAATGCAGGGGAGAAGAGAGGTGGAGGTTTAACGGTGAGGAAGAGCTGTGCCACCGTTGAGGAGCTGAAGGGGTTCTCTTTGGCCGCTGCATCTGCTATTAATGGGGAAAACAGAGGGAGGACTAGTAGGGGGATGACCAAGACTGTTCTGGGTTACAGGCAATATTAACTCACTGTGATCATCTGATCAAAATTATCCAGCGTCTCTATAAATTGGATTGGATTTTCCATATTCCTTTTTGTTTTTGTTTTTTCTTTCTCTTTATGGAATTCTAGATTGACAATATTTCTTCTCTTTCTCTATGTATAAAGAAAGATCTGGAGATGTATTGAGATTTAATTCAAGAAAGATTTTTTTTCCTTTTGCCAGAATTTTGATCAAGTTTTGCTTCAATTGTTCTTGTCAAATTGATAGATGGAAAAGGGATGCCATCAACCCAGTTCCTGGTCTGTCGTTATTTTATTTTCATTTTTTAAATTTTTTGTTTTTACTACAACGTGTTTTGCTAGCATTGATTAAACTTGAGGCAAATTACATTTATTTTTTGCTTGAAAGTTACAACTAAAAGTTTTAAATAGTTTCTTTTTCAAGAAAAAAGAAAAAAAAAAAAAACATTCTGGTAGACAATGAGACGCGTTTGTAGAGTTGCAAATAAATCGGGTTTAATCCCATTCAAATTCAATAATTTGTTTAGGTAGGAGCAATAATTGGGGATTTTGAAAGCATTGATCAGATAAAACTCAGATACTTGATCCGAAATTCAATTTGATTATATATTTGATATCATACTTGGTTTTATAAATTTATACTGATTTTATTCAAATATATTGATATATTAATCAGATTGAATTCAAATCTATGGTGGACTTGTGGCAATTTTAACGAGACGGGAAAGGCATCGTACCCGAACAACTTTAAGTCTTTAACCAATCAGAAACCTACCTAAATTTGAATAATACCAGTCGATTGATCACCATTCACCAATGGGATCATATTGCTCGACTGATTATCAGTTTTTTAGATACAGACAAGGTACAAATTATCGATATGCACAGTTGGTAGAAATTACATATTAGTATATTACACAAATCGAAGTGTGATGCTGCTCTTAAATTAATTTTTTAACTTCTAAAGTCCAACCATGATACATTTCAAATATTTGACGCATGGACGCATGTTAAATCAAAATTTCAACCAATCAAAGGATGTTATATAGTCTATTTAGCATTAAAAAGTAAAAACTTGGAACATTATTAAGACTGGTTCAAATTTTTTGCCTCACAATACAGTTCATGCACTATAGATGTTGCCCAAATTATATGCCAGGGCACCTCTAGCAAGGGTATTCAGATGACCTAAGATGGTGGATTCAAAAACTGACCAGTATACTTTGAACCTTTGGGTACTAATGTTTGATTCAAATTCAATCCGAACCGTCTGCTGCGTATGAGCTTGTACAGCTCTGGGTCTGGAATAGCTTGGCTTGATCCGGAAAAAGTTGCATAGTTACAAGCAATCAAGCACAGAAAAAACAATATTCATCTACAAAATTGAATGCACAATGGACTTTTGCCAACAAAGACCAGCCACAATGAAGCTCAATTATTTGTACAAAAAAAAGAAAAAAAAAATTACCTTGTTTTGGATTCACATGGAGATTGGAGGTACAACAGAAGGGTTCCCTGAATGTAGTGACTAGGGTTTTTTCTACGGGATCCAAGAGAAACCAGGTCTACGACTACACTACTGCCAACTCCACGACAATTTCATCGACCAAAGTGTCCAGTATGTCCAATTCCACTTCGTTACCTGTCTCGAATGCTTCAATCTCAAAGTCCGTCCATTTCCCAAGGCAATGACTCATTTCCAACTCTATTATCTCATCCGGGATTTTTCCAGCAAGATCTGACCACCTTCTTATCTCCTCGTAGACTTCTTGTACCAGCACCTCTCTACTCTTCTGCAATGGCAGTTTTGCCCATGTCTTATATCCTGATTTACAGTACCGCCCAAATTTCAAGTCTAAACACTCTATCACGCAGTCAAAAAGGAAACCCCTTAGATGGAAAACCTCTTTCTCTTCCTTCAAACTTGGAATGCAGTTGGAATTTATCCAACAATTATGGGCGAGAGAATTCAACTTGTCAAGGAGAGGGCCTTTGAGGAAGTCTGACAGTGCCAAGCCATCAACAATGCTCAAGGCTGTGTCTCCAAACAGCAGCAGCTCAGCATTCAAGATAACCTCCCTGGCATGATTTAGCTCACATCCAATTAAACCAATATCCTCAAGATCAATGCCATGAAATATCCTAGAAAGAATGTTCATGGAATTTGTCACTATCTGGTTTCCAGCCCTCCCCATGTTTAATGAGGTTGCAGAATCTGATAGATCTGCATCAACACCTGATGGCTGCAATTGATCGTATGAGCAACCCATGGACTCAGAATGCAGGTTATTTCCTGGGATCAGAAAAGCATTTAAGATGAAATTGGAAGAGAACTTGAACAGGTAAAGGGATTTATTTAATAGGAACTCGCATTTGGACTTGACATAGAAAGATTTATATCTAAATTTTTTCCCCTCTCATAACATTTTATAAATGAGAGTGTTTCGGTTTACACATCAAAATAAGGTATGACTATAGTTTCTTACCTGGGCTGTCATCAAGACTACTAGAGAAGCAACTATCATTAGAAAAAGAAGCTTCAAGAACTGATCCTGGGCTGGGATGATCAGCATCCTTTGTATGCAGTACACCAAATTGAATCCCACTAACTTCTGCTGCCTGGAGACATTGGAAATCAAAACCTACAACTGTCACGTAAAGATATTTGCATGTGCACTATTGGTTATATAAACATGTAGATCACTGCTTCATTTATCCTTACTATTCGGTAGAGTACAGAAAACACCATTACAGGGCAAGCAGCAAAAAAAAAAAAGAAGAAGAAAAATTTAAGCCAACGATGAAACAATGATAAATCATGCATAAAAGAAGTATAGACAAAATGCCTAAAAAAACACTTAATACACTTGAGCAAACACCAAACACCAACCCAATAACCCCATGAATACTTCTAATTCCTTTAAAACATAAGTGCTTCAACTTCTAATTCCTATTTCAAGCAAGCTGTATAAGATGCGACATATTTCCACAAAATGATTTTTTAAGTATTAATTTTGGGTCATGTTCAACCTGGTTTGAAACTGAAATTTGTCCCCAATTTTTGGAAAAAAAAATCAAGATCTAATGGTTTCAAGATTTTTCTAGAATAGCCATAAATATGAGATAAATCCTTTCTACTTATTTATCCTTTCCACTTTTAATCATTCTACTCAATTTACCTCCATTTCAATCCTATCTCCCTATTTCTTATACTTGCCAATACATTTTTCCTAGTTAACAGATATTGCTCAGATTGTCCCCAAGGCAGGAACGGAATGTCAAATTTGCAATGAAATTTAATTCTTGTTTATCAATATCACACATTTCCCCAAGCAGCTGCTTAAATAGAACCACCACTCTCAAAAAAAAATAAAAACTTCAATCTCATGGAAAACAAGAAATCAATGGGAAATTTTACATTAAGGATGATATTATATAAGCCCCTTGATAAATCCAAATTAATATCAAGAACTTCATATTTCTGATGCTAAGTCCAATGGATATCATAAAATTTATTAATATTAAAACCATTAACATGATAAATTGCTTTTAAAATGTAAACGTCTTCTTAGGCAAGGATGAGTTGACCTTTAAGGGCTCATCTTACTTTTAGCCAACTGGAAGGATTATGAGGTGCTCGAGGAAAATGCCTCAAGGCTCAACCTTAAGGCTCACAACTGAAATTACAAACGGCATTCCTTACACCTTGAGATGCCTTTTGTATCAATGCTTCAACATATTTGAAGACATTTAGAGGTATCATTTAACATTTAAGCTTCATAACAGTTATCAGTTTGTATTCTATAAGAATATATGTTTTTTATACTGTGTTTATGTAATAATTTTATATGCTCCTATTATGCATGTTTTAATACTTTTCCCGATGGGGGTTCTAAAAATTTCAAATGTGTCGGTGAACTTTGTAGGGTGAAGATAAGTCATTTGGGTGATTAATGATGAAAATATAGGTGGAGAAGTGAATAGACAGTCTGCTATCTTGCCAAGGAATAAGCAGAAGATCAAGAAGGAGAAAAGACCTCTTGCTGTTTAGAGTAAATAACAAAGATATAGATCACTTAAGAGGAGAAACAAGTGAAAGAGACAAAAAAAGAAGAAAAAAATACCTGGAAATAACCAATACTAACTAAACCTAACTTTTATTCATCAAATCAACTATTCTTTTTTTTGTTCAATTATGATGACTCTATTTATTGACTCAACATAAGGAAACAGATCTTTAACTCATAAGAAAACTGATCCAAAACAACTTTTGATCACCTTAAAAACAAGATAAACTGATAAGAAAACCATAGAGACTAAATAAAAGACTCTTTAACTCCTAAATATTTTTTTCTGATAAATAACTATAACTTTTTTTATGAGTACAAGTAACCATAAAATTCTGTAATGTACAATAGTTACAAGCAACCCTTTAACTCCTAAATAATCTTTTTTTAAGAAAATGGGCTACATAACAGGCCCTCCACCAAACCCCTGGACCCCCCAACCCAGGTGAAGACAGGGCTCCATCCCAGGTCTCTGCTACAATCAGCTAGAGACTTTATCAGCAAACTAGCTTGAGCCTTCCAACTCCTAAATAACTTTAAATACCTTTCAATCCTACCATAACCAATTTAATGTAAAGAAACCAAAAATTACTTGGAATACCAAACTGCAATTTTACAATAAATAAAAGTTACATGAACTACTGTAGATAGTACATCCAAAGTTGTCATAAATAGTAATTTTGAATTCTTACCAAGAACAGTAAACTTCTAAGAGAAAAAAATGGAACCCTATTCTAAGACACCAGAAAACTAAGAAATTTTTAAAAAAAAAAACGCCAATAAGCTAATCAACAAAAATTCTGAAATTGGTTTAAAAAAAGAAGAAAACTGATTTAATTCTCTGCAGATTCTTTTCCTGCTTCAACATCTGCATCATTTCCTAAAATTAGTTATATGTTTTTCTTAATAATCAGTAACTCTTGAAACTTAAGCACATCTAAAGGTCCTGACACCTTGCTTTATGCCTCCACATTTTTAAACATTGATATGGACTTCATATAATTGATGTCTGGAATTGGATTGGCCACATGCACAGTGCCTCAATCCACATAACCCTAATCGCTTATCACAAATTGATTCCTCCCCTTGTAACCAAAGCACATAAAGACAGAAAAAGAGGCCTTTCTTTGTCCATATAATAAAAGGAGGCCATTGGAATGAAACTGGTAGATAGAGTACGATGACATGACAAATATATGAAACTGGGCTACCATGTAACCAGCAATATCTAAGAAGTCCTGTCCAACAAGAATAATTTAGCTACATGACTTGTCAAGAAACCCATCCTTGATTTACACATATCTTTCAACATAAATGAAATAAAAACACACAAACACAATCTCCTCTCCTATGACATGGAATAAAAAAAATAACAACTAACCTGGAGCTTTCTATTTGTGGTGAATGCCTGACAATGTGCAGATGCGTGATCAGAGGATTGCGGACTACTGTAGTATGAGCTATTTCTTTCATCAAAACCAACAGAGCTGTCAGCACATTCCTGAGAAATTGGTCCGTCTGCAGTTAGGGCAGATATCAGTTCTTGGAGAATGGAAGCAGTAGTTCTCCCTGAAGCAGTACCCCTTGTACCAAACTCATCCCCATCTTGACAAGTCAGTTCTTTCAATTTTTGTTCCAAAAGAACACCTAGAGCATCTAGTCTTGATGGTGCCGGCTTTTGAGAAGAGGAAATTCCATTATTTGTGTCTGTTGTTTGCTTTTTCTGCTGAGAAATACTGCTCCCCATAACTTCACCTTGACCCCTTCTCTTCTCCACTCCTGTGGGGGAGGAAGACCCAGTGTTGTGCCTCATTGGAGAACTAAACATGAAAGAAACAATATCATTGTCTTTGCCACCAGTTGTACCAACTCCTACCTTGCCAGGACATCCACTCTTGATATGATTTCTATTCGTGGAGCCAGCATTAATCCCCACTCCTTTTCCATTATTGCTACCAAAATTCCTTTGTTTCACCATAGTGGAACTGACAGAACCTGTACTTCTAAATTGGCTACTACCACTCAGTGGCCTCCTTTTACGGATAGAGGCTGAGGAACCATCTTGCCTGTCATAAGCACTTCCCTCCATGTTAACTTTAGAGTTATCAGGTACTTTAGAAGGCATCCTCGACCGGGATTGACAGTTTGGATTCCTATTCAAAGCAGCAATGTCTTTGGTCCTATTGGCGACATCACTAGCATACATGCATCTTCTACTCTGGAGACTATTTGATTTCAGCCTGGGTGGTACTCTATCCTTCATTGCCATCACCTGATTTTGCCTCTGAGTCCGCTGCTTGACAAAAGCATTAGCAGCTACATCTACATCCTTCTGAGACTTGTACCGTTGGCTTGGTACACATTGCCGATCCTGGGCTTCTTGAAAGGGAGGTCTTCTGTCCAAGATGTTTTCAGTCTGTATCCGTATAGTGGCCTTGGCATGAGTAGCAGCGGTGACTGCTTGGTCCTGACTTTTCAGACAAATTACCTCTCTCTCCTGCTCAAGAGAGGATACAGGTGATCTTGCTTTACTCATTCCTGATCCTTGAGGAGGAGAATTTCCAAACTCCAAGGTAGACGAGACAAAAGAAGGTTCATGTTGCTCAATACTTGATCTAAAATCCACAACATCTAGCAAATTACCACAATTTTTGCATGAAGACTGCCCCTTCAAAGACTTGGTAGCACTTGTATAGTAATTAGATTGCTTAGAATGATCCAACGATACAACTGTCATTCCCTCTGTCATGACCTCATCCTTTGGAGGACCGTAGAGATGAGGAGCATAAGTAAGAGCGCATTTTGCTCTACTAGTAGATTGTAATCCGGGTTCCAAAATCTTGGTAGCAGCTTCCATCAGCCTAGCTGCGTTTTTCCCAGAAAGAATCCTTGGGCTCTTCACAGGAGAAACAAGCTTCTGGTGATTCTTTCTTGAACGTGACAAAACTCCCTTGAATTGCAGTGACTCGGCTCCAAACCTGGTGACTGGCCGTCTCTCAAACAATCCTGTTTTTTGAAGTTTCTGAGGCCTTGCCTCCAGCTTTATGTGACCCTTATCCACAGCCAAATCATCATTATCACAATTAAAGATCTCAGAAGTTCTACTACCATGATCATTGACATACTTCTTCTCCTGGTTGGGGGAAAAGTCAGAAAGTGAAGGTTTTTTTGGTTTATCTCGACGGACGGTCGGCATGGATTCTAGACCCATTAGCCTGGCGACCAGACCTGGTTGTCGCATATCATGATTCCTTTCAGAATCAACGGTATCATGGTTGGACTTCTTAGCATTTGGGAAACCCCCACGATTTTCATCAGCAATCTGCCATTTATAAATAACAGGAGGGGGAAATTAGCAAAACAAAAAGGCAGAGATTCAGAACCTCACAAAAAAAAAACGTCAATAGAAATAGAAAACAAACTGCATACCAGAAGAAGCTTGGCCATTGGCAACTTCTCATCTCCGCCGAACTTCTTGGAAGCTCGTTTTGCTCGGGCTACGACAATACAAGAAAAGAAATTGAAGGTTTTGTATTGAATGATCAAGAGAGAAGAAAATATAGACTGGAAACAAGTAAAATAAAGGGAGCCGCGGTTTCATTTCATTAAAGAAAACAAACCTGGTGGAAGCAGCTTTTTAGAAAAGAGTTTCTTCTTGGCAAGTCTCCGGTTCCAGTCGAAGAGCTGAAAGAAGATGCCTACGCAACCACCAGGCCTCTGGTGCCGCTTCTCTGCAATGGCCAAAGTGGAACACGTTTTTCCTGAGGTATCGTTCATTTCTCCGACCAATGGAGAAAGATATAGTCCTAAACAAATATTCTTCACAAATTCTTCTGCAAATAAGACCTAAGATACGTTAAAAATGCTCCCTTGGAAGATCTACCAAACTGGAAAAGACGTCCTCCAAATCCCTAAAAGGATCCATGAAAGCGCCTCAAGCTTCTCATAACAAGCTCTGTCAACCAGAGAAAATGCATGGACCATCAAGCATAACTCCTTCATAATGCCATTAATATCTGCAAAATAACTCTCCTCCTCCACACAAATTTCTCCATAAAACCGTGGAAACGTCAATCAGAAAACTACGAGTCTAGTCTTATCGAAAAAAACCTCCTCAATGCAGCTCCGGTGACCAAAATCACCCCATGAAAATACCCCAATCATCACCAGACGACAATCTCCAACAAAACTCCGTACACTTCACAGCGAAAGAAATTCCATAGAAGGAAAACCCTAAAGTGACCCTGTTAACCCCTGAGCATCCTCGAAAGCCGAAGAAAGACGACCACCCAAACAGTACGCAATAATCCACCTCTGCAACTAAAAACTTTCTCCATCTCTTCACGCAATGATCAAGTACTATCCTTCCAAGCAAAATAATCAAACAAAAAATGGCGATAATTTTTTGCTTGGGTGCAAAGCGATGTTTGATCTTTACTCAAACCCTAGAAAACTACAGCTTTGCCTCCTGCAATGGCAGAAAAAAAAAAAAGGCAGCTCTGCTCGAACCCACTCTCTCTCTCTCACTTACATGTAGTGTCCACTGTACACTGTTGACGCACAGAGAGAAGGTGTGCGTAGGATAGGAGCCGAGGGAGCCCAGATGCGCAAGTTAAGCAGAGAAAGACAAGCGTACTCCCTCTCTGAAGACTGAAAACTGAACTTAGGTTAAAAAAGGGAATAAAATAAAATAAAAAAGACTGAGCCAGTAGAATACAAACAAGGACGAAAGTTTTCCAAACAGAACGTCTGTTCCGTCGATATTGAGAAAGACGCGACTTCATCTTCTCTCTCCTGTCACGACGTGGAGATGAATCAAATTTGAAAATTCAAAAATTAGGGCTTTTATATTATTTTATTGGCACGTAAGTCCCTAGGTACCGACAAGGCGTTGACAACCCAAGATAGATGTTTCTCTTTCTATTGAATCTAGACCGTCCGATCTGCTCCAAAGAGCTGTGAATTTTCACTTAGTCAAAGTATTCATGTTTAGTTTTCGGATTATTTTGACTAATGAAAATATCAGCAGCGGAAACGGAAAGGGTAAAGGGGAACGGAGCGGTGGGGATAATGGGACCCACCTCTTGGGTGTTGAACGGAGGACATCGTAGTTTGTCAAGCAAATAGCAATCTGACAGCTCCTTACATTAAAGGCTTGAAGCTTTCCGGATTCCACTATGGCCTATGTGGAGCGTGACGTGACCGGCGGTGAACACGCGGCAACGACCGTCGTCGGGCGGGGGAACCGTGAGTCGTGAGTCGACACATCGTGTTCGTGAGAGCTCAGAGGTGTCCCGTCAGGCTTCACCTTTTTAGGGTTTTTACATGGGCAACATGAGATGGCTTATGCAGCTTTTCTTCTGGGCGAAAAAGACTCTGATTCCAATACGTGGAATCTGGGCCCACCAGATTGTCCACATCATCGTTTTCCACGTAGCAAATAGCGGGAAAAGGGCTCTCACATCTTTTGGCTGTTGCTAGTTTTGAGAGAATCTGAGAGGATAAGAGGTTGAAGAGTCGCTAGTGGAGGGAAGACGACGCGGAGGTATCATGTCCATGAGATGAGCTTCCAGTTGAGAGATGGGAACAAACTGGAGCTGGACCTGCAAATTTCTGAGGCAAATAGAGAGAGAGAGAGAGAGACTAAGGGCCAACAGAACAGAATTCCCTTTCCCTTGGCCCGTTGGCTGTGCCCGTGCAGAAGCGAGAGTCAGTTTTCGTCTTCATCTTCGAGACTAACAGGGAGGACGGAGGCATGGAGGATAGAACACTGCACATCTAGGGTACCGTGTGGAATAAAGGGAGCAGTGGGGACCTGATTACCCGGGTCGGATACGGGATACCCTACACATATCCAGTCCGGTCCCGATTAATAATAGGGTTTGGGTCCACAAATTTTGGTCCCTCACCATTAAATTAATTCTAGTGGGGCCCATCTCGGGTTCTATTAATTTAAAGGCCCAGCAGCTAGCAATTGGGTCCAACTAGATCTATCATGGGCCGGGCTCAGGCCGGGCTTTTACTCATCATTAATGGAAATACGCTAGGCCCAAGCCCGGCCTTGATAAAAAGCCCGAGCCCAAAGCCTGACCTAATAAAAAAATTACAATTTTCCCTTTTCAAATTAGAATTAAAAATTCAGATGGTTTTTTTTCCTATTTAAATGAACAATGGGCCTACAATATGGTTTTTTTCCCTTTCTTTTACATTTTAAAACACAGTTTTACATTCTTAAATCAAAAAATTTATTCAAATTAGGGTTGTTCATAAGAATGTCCAACCCGACCAAACCGACCAACCCGGACCGACCCAACCCGAGTCGGTCGGTTTGGGTTGGGCAAATATATAAACCAATATATCGGGTCATTTTTTGTTTTCTTTGTGAAAACCGAAACCAACCCGACCCGAACCGAACTAGTTGAATAGTTTCCTACTTAACTATAACTAGTCTTCTACTAGAACTAGAAGGCCCATTAGACAATTACAATTAGAATAGGCAATATATCATAGTTTCTAACTTTCTATAATCTTTTACACCAAATAGGTAACCCATTAGGTAATTACAATTAGAATTCAATTAGGTGTCCTTTTGTACAGGAGCAAAACCGAAACCGACCCAAACTGACTCAAACCGACCAGGTTGGTTTGGCCTATCAGTGGGTCAGTTTCGGTTTCCACCTCAGGTAACCCGACCAGGTCGGGTCGGTTGGGAAAACCCCAATAAACCGACCCAACCCAACCCGTGAACACCCCTAATTCAAATGGACATAATCACATAACCAATTTTAAGTCTAATTTTAGGTCGGGTCGGGCCGAGCTATTTTGACAAAACCCAAGCCCCGCTCGAATTTATTGCGGGCCGGGCTTTTTGGCTCGAGTTTAAGCCCGCGGCGGCCTATAAACATGTTCAAGCCCATCCGAGCTTTTTTTTTTTTTTGAATTATTATCTCTCTCTCTTTCTATCTGAGCTCCAAAAAATGAAAATTTGGTGGATTAAACCGACCGTGGGGTTGAAACTTAAAACCAATGAATACAATAGATCTTAGGTCTATTTCTAAAATAGTATTGATGGAGGAAGATTTGGCCCGACCTCTTGACCACCCAACACATGGAAGCAACCGAGGGTGACCTGACAGAAGCAACAGCTCGGCACGGCAGTGCGCTCAAGGCGTGAGCTCCAAGAGGAGGAACCAGCGGTCCGAGCTCCCCTAAAGGAGCCCGAACTCTCCCTTTGACCCCGAGCCTTACGAAGAGCGCAAAGGGCAACAACCCGAACTAGCCCACCCCAGGGAAGTTCGGGCCACACTTTTATTCGAACTCAAGACTTCACCTCGCACACCACTCCAACGCTTCGTCTCCAGGCCGCCGAACTGAACAAGCGTACCTAACACCAAAGGAGTTCGTATCCTGAGGCGGCGCACCTGACTGACTTAGGATTTGACGCTTGACAGCCGCACTTCAACGGCCACCTGCCACCGCCACCTCCAGTTACAGAGACGACTCCGACAAAGAGAGCAGTGGCGGTTGTTTGCCCCAGTAGAGGTGATGACACCCGAACTGGCAGAAGTGCAGAGGTAATGATACCCAACCTGACAAGAGCTTGGGAGTGAGTGTGCGAAGTGGTTATAAAAGGCCCTCTTCCCCCAAGAAGAAAGGTACGTGATAACTTTGCGCCATCTGGTTTTTTATCTTGCCTTTGAGAAAATACTAACTTGAGCTTCGTAGCACTCTCACCGAGTTCCTCCCCGGAGACTACTCGCTTTCTTCCCCGTTTCAGGCACCTTTTGCTCCAGTCAGAGGCAAGATCGTTGACAGCTAGGACTGACCAGATTGCGCTCCATCAATTGGCGCCGTCTGTGGGAACACGCTACAGAAAGCTAAGTTCTCATCCTACAAAAGCCAAGTTCTCATCTTACAAAAGTTAAGTGCTCTTCTCCTAGAAAGCTAAGTCCTCACTTTTTAGAAATTGAAGCTCTCACTCTATAGTTTACATTTTTTATGAACTCAAAGACTATGCAGGGAGCTAACAGACTAAGTAACTTTACTTTCAATTCGGATAAAGCCTCATCAGTCCTCTTCGCAAGGTCCCCCCCTACAAAGATGAGCTCTTCGTGGCTTCCACAGGAGTTGGCGGCCAACAGACTACATAGGCGCCCTTACCGGTCGAGCCTTCCACGGCTCCCGTGTGAGCCGGCGACCTAAAGCTAGTAGTGCTGCCCCCGAAGGTCGAGCTCCTAGTAGCTTCTTGTAGGAGTGGGTGACCGGCATTACGAAGCTGATGCAGCGCAATCATAGCTCTAAGGCACCCACCTGGTCAGCTCGACACCTTACAGGTAACTCGGCACCTTACAGGTAGCTCGGCACCTTACAAGTCGCTTGGCACCTGGTAAGATCGGCACCTCGCAGGCAGCTCAACACCTGGTCAGCTTGGCACCTCACTGGTAGCTCAGCGCCTGGTCAGTTCGGCACCTCACAGGCAAAGCCTACGGGCCACATTACTACTAAAGACCCAGTCGCCTCTTCGGCACGGACAAAGTCAAAAAAGAGTGGACTACGAGTCACTTCAAAAGCCTACGAGCCACATTACTACTTAAGACCCAATCGCCTCTTCGGCACGGGCAAAGTCAAAGAAGAGTGGACTACAAGTCGCTCCCAAAGCCTACGGGCCACATTACTGCTTAAGACCTAGTCACCTCTTCGGCATGGGCAAAGTCAAGAAGAGTGGATTATGAGTCGCTCCCAAATCCTACGGGCCACACTATTGCTGAATATCCAGTCGCTTCCTCAGCATGAGTAAAATCAGCAAAAGTGAACTATAAATTGCCCCCAGAGCCTAAGGGCTACACTACTGAATTGGCGGAGACCTCCTCACCTTATAGGCAGCTCGCTACTTGCAGACAACTCGCCACATACAGACGACTCCCAAGGCCTAAGGAATTGGATCGGCACCTACTAACTCGTCGACTTACAGGCCAAAAGAAGGATACTCCCTTCACTGAGTTACTCTCAGCTCGGGAGTGGGGGGCAAATGATGAGGGCAGATTTGGCCCTCCAGTGAAATTGTGACACGTGGCACCTCGTGACAACTAGGCGGCAGCTCACCAAGGAGCTCGGCAACTCTCCAAGGAGCTCGACAGCTCTCCAAGGAGCTCGACAGCTCTCCAAGGAGCTCGCCAGCTCACAAGGGAGTTCGCCACCAGGCAGTTCTCCACCAGGGAGTTCGCCACCAAGCAGCTCTCCACCAGGGAGTTCGCCACCAGGCAGTCCTCCACTAGGGAGTTTGCCACTAGGCAGCTCTCCACCAGGGAGCTCGCCACCAGGCAGTTCTCCACCAGGGAGTTCGCCACAAAGTAGCTCATCACCAAGGCACTTCACCATCGGGGCAAATGACAAGGTACTTAGCCAAAAAAAATTGATACACCACAAAAATTGGTACGTGGTCGGAAACGGTTACATCAAGTATCATACACAGGTATTAAATTAAGCAGATGATGATACTCGGAACAGACGAGTATAGTAGTATACTAAGGTCTGTGTTTGGAGAACATGGACCCGCACCAAACCCAAACCATTGACACCCTCAGTATGGAATTAATGAGTCATCCCTAACACAAAAACCGCCAAACACGCCTCAAGAATCAAAATCGTTGCGCCAACCGCCAAACATCTGCAACGCAAAGTAGGTAAAGTGGGGATGGCTTGGATGCTGGGACCTGGGACCAGCCTAGAGTGTTTTTAGTGTCCCAGGAGTGGACCGAGTGGTTCTGCGTTTTGCGGGTACCAGACCCTGCACAAAGACCAATCTGGATGGAATGTTTTGCTCTAGAACTAGAAAACCATTATTTGTAAACCTTGAATCGAGCTAACGAGTGCATACAGATACGAGACAGTAGGCACTCCCTTTGGAAGGAAGCACTTAGCCATCACTTGAGACTTCTTCACGTTCCAATTTGTTAATTAAAAAGAATCCATTAACCAATGCTGCTGGTCCCTGCTGCCCGGGTCCTGGAAAAACAGTTCACGGGTTAGAACGGAGAAAGATGCAAACTACTTGGAAAGAACTCCTCCAATCCCTCTCAGGAATCAGGTCAACACTGAACACAGTGCAAGTTCACTTTCGCCCGTCAGTTATTGCAGCCAAAAAAGATAATGGGCCACGATGAAAATCTCTCCACCTCACATGCTAGCCTGGCTGTGGCTGGTTGAAATGAATCTATTAAGTACTTAGGCCATGTTCGTTTTTCGTGAAGTGAAAGGGGGAAACCAATTTACCCGTGTTCGGATTTCAAAATTATGGGACCCACGGTCCCACAATATTGCCCCCACAAGATATAAAAGTTCGAGACCCTACCTTTCCGAAAAATCACCTCTGTGTTTCCCTCCTTCACTTGGTTCTACTTCTCTGAAAATCAGCTCTGTGTTTCTCCTCCACTCCTTTCTTCTTCTATGCCATTAATTCTTTCAGACAGAAAATGCTGAGTTCTTCTATCGCTGATGCGTGTCTTTGAGTTCTGATTCTCTGTGTATCTCTGCGTTTCTCCTCCGAAAATCACCTATGCATATCTCTGCATTTCTCCTCCGAAAATCACCTCCGTATCTCGGAGTTCTGCTTCTCTGCCTTCGCTGCTGCTATATCAACTCACCGCAAATGATGAAGAGTTGTCGTCGCTGGCCTCCCTCTGTGGTCGGCACCATTGATCATCCCAGTTGTTGTCGCCGCTCCATCTAGTTGCCGTCGCTGTTCATTTTTTCCTCCATTTAAACAGTAAGAATCACTATTTCACTTGTCGTTGATCCACCATTCCTCTGTAATGCATCTTTTTTTTTCATCTTATTCAAAAAATGTTGCTTCTCATCTTATTGTTTCTCTTTTATTATTATTTCATTGATTTCCTTTTTTTATTTTGATTTTTTGTTTCCAGATTTCTTGGATCTAGTATTTTGGTTTTTTAGATCAATTGTGATACCTAGAGTTTTCAGAATCAGAACAGAAACAATTCTTGTTGT